CGAATTCAAAAGGAAACACTGTTGTTGGAAAATCACAGTGAGGATCGAAAGATATTGATAACTAGCTTATGACTTGCAGTTTGCATTGATTATGGTCTAACATTGTCAAACAATTGATTTGAAAAATAATACAAAACAATTGATAACATTAGAGCATGAAAATGGTCAAGTTTCCTTTAGATAAGAGCAAAATGTCGTTTAAATTGCACAAGCACTAGGCTGTGTCTATAAAACTGTAGGTGTTGAGTTTACTTTTGGTTGTTTAAATCATCTTTGTGGCAATTGATCTGTCTGTAGATTTTTTAGTTCTCTGATCAGTGGTTGATAAATTTGTAGTGAGTTTGTGGTGCATAAATTTGAGTTAACAAATTTAATTGTCATATTCCTGCAAGGCTTTTTTCTCTAGCTTTTGGAAGCAATGTTGCCAACAATTCATGTATGTTCTGTATCTGTCCTTTTGCATTTCCTCATTATTTCTTTATCATTTATCATGCTGTGTAAAACAGCATTTAACTTTTTCGATGACATCAGAACAAATGCAGGCCCCTGCTTTTCATATAGATTTCAGATATAGATTAATTGAAAGTCTTCATGAGTCTCACCTAATACTCGTTTTATATGTATTGAAGGCAGGGAGACTTACATGTGGAATTCTTAATTTGTCCTGGCACCTGAAATGCATAGTTTTTACTTTCTTACATTCCTCGGTGAAAACATTTATCTAACTTGATAAGAATGTAGTTTTACGCAAAAATCATTCAAAAGAGTCAGCATTAGACTCTTATCTCTGATAGAATCTTTTGATTCGCTGCTTCTACAAACCACAATCTATCCCAAGTATTAAACTGTCGACCAACTAAATTAACCATATCCCAATGGAAAAGATAGTTCAATACACCATTGCCACACGCTTTTGCTCATTTAAACATGAATCTGCCAGTATTGCCATGCTTGCCAAAATTATATTGTCTTCATCTATGTTGAAACAATGGCTCGAAGAGCATGTTTATCATAAGCTAACACAAAAGGTTTAGGGAACTGGATCTGAATGCTTCTTCCATATCCCATTTATCATGCCATGCAAAATAGGATGCCTTCTTCCCTAGTCAAACCTGACAAGAGAAGAAAAATGACCCAACCTTTTTAATAGATATTGAAAAACTAGGATAAGAAATGTTCCTCTCTAGAAAATTTGCCTCTAAAATCCACTTCTTGAATATCTTCAGTGATCAATCTGCACATGTTATCATTCCACCATGAACCTCCAAAGCCATTGTTCAAAGAGAGCCTGGTTGAATCATTCAAGTGTTCTTTATCTTATATGCCTGGTTGAATCATTCAAGTGTTCTTTATCTTTTATGGATGTAAAGGATTGTAAGAGCCTTTCGGATGTGCTATGTCTGGGGTGATTTAGAGCATGTTCTAGTTGGTTGGGGCAGGATTCTGAAATCTTAGGAGATCATTGCCTCTTACAGTGATCATTGTGGGACATAAGTTTTCTTGGATACCTTATAAATCACTGCTTCTGGAATGTGCATAGCAGTACCTTCGTCTTATAGTCAAGAGGACTTGAGAACCCTTTTTGATTTGGATTTGATTTTGTGGTCTTTGTATTGTCAAAATGGTGGATGCATATTTTCCATGTCTGTAACCATATATTGGCAAAAAAAGCAGTTAAAATCTTGGAATTACATTTTGGTAACTGAAATTACCTAGGATTGTATGAATTTTCCCAGTTCCCAACCCTCAAGCATTAGAGTTTGTGCAAGTTTGTAAACTCTGCAGTTCCATTTCATCAAGGACCCCCTCCTTCTCTCTCTCTCTCTCTCTCTCTCTAATGCAAACTTTAGATGACAGAAAAGTTTAAAATGTCAGAATTATTTTGTGGATAATTTATTGTACAGGCATAAAAAATGAGTTCTTTGAAGCTGATTTTTATCTCTCGGAGTGGAATTGATAAGCTAAATGTCTTAATATCTTTTTAGATCTTGTAGGATGTTAACATGCTTAGTCATTGGATGTTAACAAAGACACTTAAATATTCTTGGCTAATTTGTGCAGGTGTGATTCTGCTTTTCTATCTGGTGTCACTTTGATGCTCATTTCTTGCATTGTGTGGTTAAAATTGGTATCTTATGCTCATACAAACTCTGATATGAGAGCAATTGCCAAGTCAATAGATAGGGTAAGTATATTTGAAAAAGCTCAGCAGGTGCGTGGTTTTTTATGTGAAAGCTGTTGCATTGCGTCCTACATAAGATTGTAAATTGAAGAATTGAGAAAATATGTGCTAGAAGCATCAAGTAGATGTGTTATCATCTCTCTCTCTCTCTTATCTTCCCATTATCATTATCATTATCATTACACATTCAATATTTCTCTCTATCAAATTTAATCAATTGGTTTCTCTCAGTCATTATTCACCGAGGTCCTGTTTAATTTCAGGAAGATGTCCAATCCATTTCTCCTTGTGTGGGTAATCCTTATGATACTTACTTTAAGAGTTTGGTCTACTTCATGGTGGCTCCCACATTATGTTACCAGGTAATCAGTCATGTTTCTTTGGCTCATATATAACAACTATATGCATTTTCAGCTTTTTTATAAACTCTTATTGGTTCATCTTGTATTACCTAATGATATGTGATTTATTTCCAAAAATTCTAGAGGATACATTGCAAAAAGACTTTTATTTTTAGTTACTAGAGAATAAAAGAAAGAATGAACTTACTAGGATATATATGTTGAAAGTCACCCTGCATGCATGGAATGAGAGGACTCCTGCTATAACAATCAGGTTATACTCCTTTACATGGAATGATTGGTGTAGAGTACCTTTTTAAACCTGAGTTGTGTGATATTCCCACATTTTCTAATGGTAGACAAATGTTCTTATGTTATCTCTGTGTATGGGACTGGATGTGTTTTGAGTGTCCTAGTTGCATGGATCAGTTATTTTGTCTCATTTCCATCAATTCTTATGATTTTAGATACATCCAAGCAATTTTATCCTTCAGCACATTTTATTATTATTTCCTGGTCTCGAGGGTTGGGGCTTAATGCCCAGCATTTCATAAAGAACAATTCTTTTCCATGTCTGGATAGAAGACAGTGGATAAAGACCTTGAATTTTGACTCTGTTGTAGTTGACCAAATTCACAAACGTTTTGCTCACAAAATCTTGAAACACTTGGGTCTTGGCACCATGCAGGACTGGCAGCAATTACCCATACCCTGAGCTACATATGCCATGCTATCACTTAATGCGTAAAGAAATAACTACTTGTCTCCCAAATACCACGACACATAATACAAATGATACACATATAACAGGGGACGTGGATTTGTAAATAGAATCTAACTTTTATGTTGTCATAAAGTTCTTAAGACTAGTATTAATGTAGGGGTCTCTATTCTGGTTATGCTGTGTTTTGTGGTCTGACTTTATATATAGCTCTTGCATTGTGTTTGTGTGGCTATAGCTTGTAAATAGGACTTCTGTCCCTATTTTGTGGCTGCCATATCTTGTCTTTGTTATCAGATTCTCTAATCTTTGCCTTGATGCATTGTCATTGTAGTCAAGCTATCCTCGCACTGAATCTGTTCGAAAGGGATGGGTGGTTCAACAATTTGTCAAGTTAATAATATTTACTGGATTCATGGGATTTATCATAGAACAAGTAAGTGGAATTTCACATTTAAACCGGTTCTGAGTGCTCTCTTTCTTCTTCTTCTTCTTTTTTTTTTGGAAATAAAGGCATGCATTCCTGACATATTTGGTGGGCATAATTCTGCAGTATATCAATCCTATTGTTAAGAATTCACAGCACCCTTTTAAAGGAAATCTCTTGTATGCCATTGAGAGGGTCTTGAAGCTCTCAGTTCCTAATTTATATGTATGGCTTTGCATGTTCTACTGCTTTTTCCACCTGTGGTGAGTGAACTTTTCTTTCGCATTTTATGGATAGTTTCCTCTTTGTTAAAGAAATTCCAATAATTGCCATTTTTTTTTTCATTAATACCATGAAGCTTGTTATAGCTGTAGTTAGTTTGCCTCAATGGTATCAAGTGAAAATACTTCAGTGGAAATTTTTTTAGATCAATAGTGTTATGTGTAGTTTCATTTAGTTGTAGTGGAGTTGTAAGAATCCTCCACTGGACACATTTACTTCAACAACTATTGACTTCATTCCCTTGAAAATGTTTTTCTTATAACTTGTCAACAAGTAACAACTTGCATTTCAAATTGTGTTCAGATTCCTTTGTAGTGGGAGTAATTTTTATAAAGTGTGCTTATTATTTTTGTTTAATGCATAATTTTATTACCTAGCATGATTCCTGAAGCTTGGCATGTTTCTAGAAATTTACACTAGGTTTCTTCCCTCCCATAACAGGGGAATTGTAGGACCAGGTTCATCTCTTTAGTTTGGGTTGAATACTGTTTTGCAAATGTAGGTTAAATATACTTGCCGAGCTCCTTCGCTTTGGTGATCGGGAGTTCTACAAGGATTGGTGGAATGCAAGAACTGTTGAAGAAGTAAGAACTCATATTCTGGAAAATGTTTTCCTCTTGATATATCGATAAAAAATTCCTTGCTTATCGTCTTTACATTTGCAAACGTGATTTTGGATTTGTGGCTTTCAACAGTATTGGAGAATGTGGAATATGGTATGTTTCTATACTTGAAATTCTTTATTTTATCTTTAGATTCTGAGGCCTGATTGTTTATTGGTAAATGATTTTTTTTTTTGTAAAATGAATTCCATGGAAAATGAATTATAGGAAAATGGATTATTTTTCAATGTTTGGCTCTACCATGGAAAATGAGGCTGAAAATATTTTCCAATGCTTATTGTGCAATGAAAATGACTTTCTTGCCTGTGTTATCCATTTTTCATAATAACATTCTATTTATAATTATCGTTACAATATGAGATGTTGTATATTTTCTAACAAAAAGTATTTTCTTATCTATGTAGTATATGTATAAATGTATTATATATAGGGATTTGCTAACCCACTCACTCTTTAGGCGGACTAGCATTGTGCCCAAATTTTTTGGACATTATGTATTGTAATTATGGGCTTTTCTTAATCACCTCTAATAGAGATAATATGACAATTATCAAACATTGGGGCCCAGTTATTCTCCCCACCCCTCCCCTTTCTTTCTTCATTTTTTGTTCTTTTATAGTCTGAATAAAGCATGAGCAATAACACATCATCATCACTTCAAGTTTTGCTACAGAAACTGTAGTTAGAAATGGACTCTAAAGTGGCCTAACTGCCAAATCTTCATTGCTTTGTTCACTGCTTCTGTAGGCTTTCAAATTTAAAGAATTAAGGAAATACTATTCCAATCTTTTTGCAAAGAAGCACTATCTTCACTTTCTCAAGCTGTTAATCTCTCTCGTTTTTTTCTCTTCATCTGGCAACGCAATGGCGATCCCATACTCCCTATCTTGTATTTATCTCTTTGCAATCATTAATTCTCAGAAATGGATTTGATATAAAAACCTTACTCATTGCCTTTGGAGTGGTATTCGAGAATGATGATAAAGGAAAATAACAATTCAAGTTGATATAAAAACCTTACTCATTGCCTTTGCAGTGGTATTCGAGAATGATGATAAAGAAAAATAACAATTCAAGGAGAAAGAAAGATGGGAGAGAGAGAGAGAATGGTGGTTTATTTCTTGTTGATAAATTCAGGGAAACAACATGAGAGACAATGGATTATTTCTTGTTGATAAATTCAGGGAAACACCATGGGAGACAATGGAGATAATAATAATAATAATAAGGGTCTCAAATAACAAAAAGAAAAGAAGAAAAAAAGTAAGGGTACCAGATGGCAGTACAATCCCAGTTACAAGAGATCAATAACGCTTTACATTAAAGGTACATTACGTGAAAAAAAACGACAATGCTAACATGCTCGAAGGATGGGCAGGGTGGGCTAGCAAATCCCTTGCATTCGATTTCGATATATATATATATATATATTTATTTAATTTCCTATAAAATATTATATAGATTTTTGTACTTCGTCAATATATTGTATATTTTAATACAATAAATAGAGTATTAATACAAGTGTAATACATGTATTATGGAAGAATAATGTAGCATGTGATTTTAGTGCGTGAGCCCTAATGAATGTGTTCCAATTCTTTCAAACCAGAAAAAAAGCTTCCTCTTTTAAAGCTTCTATTCTTTTTTTATTGGAAAATGAATTGTCGACTAGTTGTCTAAAGTTCCTCCAAACATTAGAAAGTCAATAAATTATGGGAACACCTTCAAAATTTTATGTTATGGATCGATATGGTCAATCATGAAACTTCGTGTGTTATAGCAGTAATGTGTTCCGGAATACATTCTTGTTTTAAATCTATAACATGAACGGTGTGGGAATTCTAACATGTGCCTCCCTAGAAATTGTTTTCATAGCTGTTTAATTGATTAGGGAGTCTCAAGAGGATAAATGCTATTCCCATTTAAGGTAGAAAATGGAAAATGTCAGGGAACTATGGAATTGGAAAAAAATGAATTTTTAATCCATATGAATTCTTGTTAAGTAGTTTCCTAGTTGGCTATTGGATCATGAAGCTATAAAAGTTGGTATATCCTCTTATTGAAATCCGGGCCATGGTTACCATGTGCTGTTTGAATTTAGTTGTGGATCAACATTATGACTGAACAATAAGGTACTTCTATTAGTTGCAAATCATTCTATTCGAATGAAAGTTGTGTCAAGATAAGGATATTAGATTGAAAGTCTTCAATTTCTAGTCAATCTTTTGTCCATGTCGTGGGAAAGATTTTATTTGTTGATGCAATTGTCAGCAATACCATGGTAATTTGTTGCTGTATAACCTATCATTTTACCCTTGTGTTTGTCCCAATTATTGAAAATTATCCATGTGTTAATTTTTTTAGTAACTATTGTTTGTAAAATTGGTTTAATTGTGGGCAATAGTTAACTTCCTTCTGTTTGTTCCATTAATTAGTACGACATGGACAAACAATTTCTATATAGGATGAAAATTGGATCCCCATATCAAATGAATGATGTTTAATAAGTTGAAATGGCTTAGAGATCCATAAAAACAAAAAGATTCGCATGTGATTTGATCAAGATTTGGAAGGGTTTCTAATTATTTTAGGGAAGAAGCTAGAATTTAGATTTTGGGTTGGTGGTGGGTGGCTGGCTGGCTGCGTTTGATAAATAATAAAGAGAGGCACTTGAGCAGCTTACAGCTCAGAGATTTTTTTTTTTTTGATCAATCACATGGAGGTCAAATGACATAATTTACATGGTATATGAGTTCAATTTTCATCATGTGTGGACATTATTTGTTGTCCCAATTAATTGAGCAATTGGATGACAATTAACCATTGAACCTAATTGAGCCAATTTTACAAACACAAAGTGTTATTAAATAAATTACTAACATAGGGGAAATTTTAAAGAACTGAGACAAATACAAGGGAAAAATGTTTAAGCCAGTTACATGCTTACAAGTTTGTTCATCTGGTGCTTTTATATATCATTTGCATTCTTATTGTAATGTTGTAGTTATTATAACGAACATAAGATGTGCTGCTTACGAACACACACGCGCACAGAGGCTGGTTGGTCAAGCATGCCTCTAATTGAATCGTAACTGTCTACAGCCAGTTCATAAGTGGATGGTTCGCCATATCTATTTTCCTTGCCTACGGAATAAAATACCGAAGGTAACTTCCCTTTCTCTCCGTGGACTGTAAACGGCACTTGTTCGTTAGAAAGTAAATGAACATTTCTTCTTACTGTATTTTTATCTCTGCTTTTGTCATCACAGATTTTCATTTTCTTGTTCTACGATGGAAGCTTTATAATGTGACCCGTGCATTACAAGACATGCTATAATTTGGCTTATCTTGCAATTTATTTATTTATTGAATCTTCTATCCAACTTTCTTTTTATTTTTCTGCTAATTGAACAAAGAAATCAGAATTACAATTATAAACTTTAAACTCATATTTATGACAATTGTTGACAGCAACTTTTGGAAGAAGGATGATGCATGGAATATTATGAAGGGGGTTGTCTTAGGTTTATTCTCATTTAGGGCTGTGTATTATTAACCAAGCATGTCCTGGTGATTTTATATTTTGTTAGACAAAAACTCAGTAGAGATACTCTCTTGGCAGGTTCTCACAATTCTTCTTTGTTGTTTTTTCCCATATCATTGCAGGGGGTGGGTAGCTATACTTATTGCCTTCTTAGTTTCAGCTGTATTTCACGAGGTATTATTGGGTTGATTTTTTATTTTTGTTATTCGATGACTTTTATCTTGACTACTTTATCTCATAGCTGGTTTATATGTTCACATAGAAGATCAAATTTTTGCATGTTTATTTGTTGGTTATAGAAGTATCTTTTTTAGGAAGCATCAAGGATATGAATACAATATGATACAGATGTCAATTTTTTAAATTTAGGATATGATACAGATGTCATGGATACTTTATTAAAAATATATAATGCCAACTTTTTGGATAAAATGAAATTATGTTGGTTTGGTATTATAATATATAAAATAGTTTTTTTTATATAAAAGATATTTATTTTAAATTTGTGTATTTATTTTTCTTTTTAAAGGATGGGATGGTCAGGATGATATGTTAGGTATCAATGTGTTATTAAGCTAAAAACAAATATGTTCTACTTTTACATTTTTATGTAGTTTCTCGTTTTTATTCTAGAAATTAATTCAAAATGCATAAAACTATTTACAAGATGGGAAACCATAAATTAGTTTGAATAACACCAATAATAACAACGTTAAGATTGCATTTGTCACTTTGACAATATTCATCAATCAGTATCCATTTCAAAAAAAAAAAAAAAATCATTTATTATCTATATAAATCATACTCTCTGTCCTAAAAGGATTGTCATGTTTGACTTTCTACTATCATTAATTGACACATGTCATATCACCATTCTTTAGCACACTTTTTTAAAACACCCTCTATTGTATGCCTCTTAACAAAGTGGGTATAACTAGGGGTATTTTAGGAAAATGCATGACTCAATGTTTTGATCAGAAAATCAGTTTGTGATAAACAAAATAGAAAACCAGACAATCTCTTTGGGATGGAGGGATTATTATATTAATTTGATATTATAGAATGAAAATGTGCAAAACTAATTAGTAAAATTCAATTTGCACCCGAAATTGTAGTAATGATGTATCCATGAGGTTTTGGATACATCTATGAAGGCATTTTTAAAGTATCCCCAAGCATTTGAAATAATATTTATTATTCATTAGTTTTTATTTGGCAAGTATCCTATTTGTATTAGAGCAGTACCAGGTCAAGTATAGTATTGGATATGTTCCCAATTGGGTTACATGAGGGATTTTGAATTGTACTCGTGCACACACTTGATGCAAAATCAAGGATTTTGCTTAGGGACTCATCACTCTCTTTTTCCTTTTTTATTTTTCTTGATGGGTGGAGTGATTTTGTGTTCAACTTCATGTGAATTAATTTCAACTATTAAAAGATTAGCTTTGGATGAGATGAACTAGACATGAGCGACAAATTGCACAGGGATTGTGACAGTGTCATGAAAATCTATTCTTATCTTTGTCTGGGAACCACACATTGCTGGGGACTTTGCTTTATGCTATGTCAGTGGTAAAAATAATGGTAGCAACCAATTTTGAAAGTTAAACACACCAAGTTACCTGCTTAGTTTGGCACATTGATAACATGGATTGGTAGGTTCGGAAACAGAGGAGATCTAAACATCAAGAAATTACAGAATAACTGGTAGGCCGATCCAACTGGGTTGGGATGAGGGCTTAGTTGAGGATGATGCTGATGAACTGTCTCTTCAACTCTTCACGGCAGGCGAACTCTTGGAATGCAGTGATTGCGATAGAGTTATAGACCAACACTTTGAGATTCTATAGTCAATGCTTGCACTAGAATTTTGAATTGATGCACCGCTGGCTCTGTTCAATAGTTTCAATTACAGCCATGTACTTGTGGTGGCATTTGATGTTAATTATCCTGCAGTTGTGCATTGCTGTTCCCTGCCGCGTGTTCAAGCTCTGGGCATTTATTGGAATTATGTTACAGGTAAATATGATTCTGACCAGAGACTGCCAGAAGTTCGTTTTAACTGACTGTTTTAAAACCAGTTTTATGCTTGCTCCCCCCACTCCCTAAGAGAAGAGAAAGGAAGAAGGGAAAGTATCATCTTTTAAGTGTGTTGAAGTAGCTAATGGAAAACATGGCTTCATTTTTCTCGTTTGGATCAGGTTCCCTTAGTGGTGATCACAAAATTTCTCCAAAATAAGTTCAGAAGCTCCATGGTATGTCCATTTCTTCACCTCTTCATCTCCCAAGCAGAGAGGTTAAAATCTGGAACATCTGATAAATAGCAGACTTCCAAACCCCGCTCTATTCCATCATGCAAAGTGTAGTCCGCCATGGTAGATGGCCATGGAGTACAAAATCAAAGCCCGATGAGCAGCAGCCTGTTTTAGTCCATGACAGAATGCAATTCTTTTCATGACAGGTGGGAAACATGATCTTCTGGTTGTTTTTCAGCATTCTTGGTCAGCCAATGTGTGTGCTTCTGTATTACCATGACTTGATGAATCGGAAGGGGAAAACTGAATCAGGTTGACACAAGCGTGGTAGAGCTTGCCAAGATCAACAAAAAGCGTGGTTATGGAAGTGCTGTTTCCCATGTGTTCTGCAGGAGAAATGGTGTTGAGCCGTGTGATATCGAGATGTCTTTTTTTTTTTTTTTTTTTTGAATGTCTTTGATGTACACGCAATTTTGGTAGTACAGGCACTGGAACTTAAAATGCCCAAGTAACACTGGATTTTTTTTTTTTTTTTATGTTGGTTGGTTGATCATATCTGGAAAAATGTTAATGGTTCTTGTTCCATGGTTTGGCTTTTCAAATTCATATCCTGTTGTGACTGTGTTCAAGGTCCTCCACAGCTGATGACAGTTTTTTGTTTGGTGGTAGTAACTAAATCGTTGACTATGCTGATGGTTGTATTAAATTTCTTTTTTTTTAACGTGACAATAATGTCGAGATGTTGTTATGTTCTTGTTTTCCGCTGGAAAAAAAATATAATGTAATCCAATTTGCCTAACAAGTTTAAAAGGAATCTACATAACTGTTAAAGACAAAAAAAAAAAAAAAAGAAGAAGAAGAAACAATCTGAATGTGTTTTTTTTTTTTAAAGTATTAAGATTGATTGATAATATAGGTTATTTAGCTTATGTTTACCATTTGAGTTATGAATTTATGACAACTTAATAAAAAATAAATTATAGAACTTAATTAATATGATATTAAAAAATAAAATTAAAAAAATTAGTTAATAAATAATATAAATTTATTCAAGTTAATATATCAAACTTATGATTTAGGTTATGAAATTAATATAATCTTATAGGAAAACAAATTAGAGTAAATTATAAAACAAAATTCTTAATTAACTTAAATTATAAAGCATAATTCTTAGTTAATTCAATATCAAAGAATGATAATGAAAAACATCAATTAAAAATAAAAAAATAAGTCAACGTAAATTCACTCTCTGAATATATACTCTTGGTCATGAGACCAAGATAATCTTATAGAAAATAATCAAAATAAATTATAAAACTTAATTCTTAATAAATTCAATGTTGGAGAATGAAATAAAAAGAAATAATTATAAAAAGAATAAAAAAATCTGAGTCAACATGGTTTTGTTAGAAACCTGATTAAAAATCATGATTAATGGATACATTTGAGGCCAAACCCTCTCAAAAACTCTATCCCATATTAAAAAAAATAAAATTTTTTAGTGTTTAAATAATGTACAATTAAAGAGTTCAAATTAGGCTAAAAGGGGATCTAGATTTTTATAGGAGAAAGTACATAAGCAAAGTGTCCTTTAGGCTTAAACCCACACAAGTGCATTGGCTTGACTTGTGCTCGGGCCTGGGTTCATTGTAAAATAAATTTTTGAGTCACAAAAAATTATTTTTTTTCCAACTTAAATTTGAGCTTGGATTTGGTCTATAAAGACCTTGTTTAAAGTGCATCTAAACTAAGGTGATGTTATTGGAATCTTGGGAGGTTTATTGTAAACAATATTTGCATCAAGAGATGACCGATAAAATCTTAAGAATAAAGAATTTATCCTTGATAACAACAAAAACTTCACTATTTAGACCGTGTTTAATTATCTAACAACGGTTGCATTTCATCCAAAATACCAAAATTAATTGTTTAGTTGCTAATTAAAACACAATTTTAAAGTGTGAGACCTATTAAAAACTATGGTCTAACCATAATTTCACTCTTTTTTTTTACCGCTACAAAACATATGTCATTTGAGCTTGAATCTGAATCATCACTCAATTAGTTTTAATTGTCTTATTATGATGATGACCATTCTTTTTATTTTTAAAGAAGTGGATAATCTACTTTGATGTGACTTGTTTTGTTGTATTTGTAGCATCTTAGGAGTTCCTTGCTTGAATCTTTCTTGTTCCCATCTTTCTTATAGTTTAAGAATATTTTCTTACCTTGCTTCTTTTTTAGAAAACTTTTGAAATGATTTGTGATTAAGACAATCATCATCATCAACATCAATGTAATGAATGATTTTGAATGTCATGTTCCTCTTTGGCTTTTCTTCTTGTTCTTGTTCATCCATAGTGAACTCATTCATTATAAAAAAGTAATAAGGTCCTTTAATGAAAGTTTGGTGAGATCTTTAACTTCTTGAATTTTTGTTACCTTTGCTTTCTAAATTTTTGGTAAAAACCTAATAATTTTTGTTCATGATTTTAGCATTGGTGTATGTTCAACCGAGTGCATGCAAACTATTTGTAATGATAATCATTATAGTAAATATGTTGGTAATGGATTCATTAGGTTTTTTTTTTTAAAGTATTAAGATTGATTGATAATATAGGTTATTTAGCTTATGTTCACCATTTGAGTTATGAATTTATGACAACTTAATAAAAAATAAATTATAGAACTTAATTAATATGATATTAAAAAATAAAATTAAAAAAATTAGTTAATAAATAATATAAATTTATTCAAGTTAATATATCAAACTTATGATTTAGGTTATGAAATTAATATAATCTTATAGGAAAACAAATTAGAGTAAATTATAAAACAAAATTCTTAATTAACTTAAATTATAAAGCATAATTCTTAGTTAATCCAATATCAAAGAATGATAATGAAAAACATCAATTAAAAATAAAAAAATAAGTCAACGTAAATTCACTCTCTGAATATATACTCTTGGTCATGAGACCAAGATAATCTTATAGAAAATAATCAAAATAAATTATAAAACTTAATTCTTAATAAATTCAATGTTGGAGAATGAAATAAAAAGAAATAATTATAAAAAGAACAAAAAAATCTGAGTCAACATGGTTTTGTTAGAAACCTGATTAAAAATCATGATTAATGGATACATTTGAGGCCAAACCCTCTCAAAAACTCTATCCCATATTAAAAAAAATAAAATTTTTTAGTGTTTAAATAATGTACAATTAAAGAGTTCAAATTAGGCTAAAAGGGGATCTAGATTTTTATAGGAGAAAGTACATAAGCAAAGTGTCCTTTAGGCTTAAACCCACACAAGTGCATTGGCTTGACTTGTGCTCGGGCCTGGGTTCATTGTAAAATAAATTTTTGAGTCACAAAAAATTATTTTTTTTCCAACTTAAATTTGAGCTTGGATTTGGTCTATAAAGACCTTGTTTAAAGTGCATCTAAACTAAGGTGATGTTATTGGAATCTTGGGAGGTTTATTGTAAACAATATTTGCATCAAGAGATGACCGATAAAATCTTAAGAATAAAGAATTTATCCTTGATAACAACAAAAACTTCACTATTTAGACCGTGTTTAATTATCTAACAACGGTTGCATTTCATCCAAAATACCAAAATTAATTGTTTAGTTGCTAATTAAAACACAATTTTAAAGTGTGAGACCTATTAAAAACTATGGTCTAACCATAATTTCACTCTTTTTTTTTACTGCTACAAAACACATGTCATTTGAGCTTGAATCTGAATCATCACTCAATTAGTTTTAATTGTCTTATTATGATGATGACCATTCTTTTTATTTTTAAAGAAGTGGATAATCTACTTTGATGTGACTTGTTTTGTTGTATTTGTAGCATCTTAGGAGTTCCTTGCTTGAATCTTTCTTGTTCCCATTTTTCTTATAGTTTGAGAATATTTTCTTACCTTGCTTCTTTTTTAGAAAACTTTTGAAATGATTTGTGATTAAGACAATCATCATCATCAACATCAATGTAATGAATGATTTTGAATGTCATGTTCCTCTTTGGCTTTTCTTCTTGTTCTTGTTCATCCATAGTGAACTCATTCATTATAAAAAAGTAATAAGGTCCTTTAATGAAAGTTTGGTGAGATC